CAGAGAGAGAGAGAGAGAGAGAGAGAGAGAGAGAGAGAGAGAGAGAGAGAGAGAGGTTGGGGGAGTGAGCAGGGAGGAGGTGTGGGAGAGGAAGAAAGACAGAGAGACATGGACAGTGGGATAAACAGGGTGAGATAGAGAAAAGGGGGGAGGGTGAGGAGAGATACAGACAGACAGACAGACAGACAGACAGACAGACAGACAGACAGACAGACAGACAGACAGACAGAAACAGAGACAGAGACAGCGAGAAGCAAAGAATGAGTAAACAAGAAAAAAGGGGAAAGCAAAAAAACAACAAAAAAACAAAAACCAAACAAACCCCAATCCCAAACCGTTCAATTAAAAAAAAGAAACAAAACAAATATAAAAAAAGAAACAAAACAACTGACTGTCGGAATTAATTCGAGGAAATCAGTGGGTGGTTGGCTGGTGCTCTGGTGCGGTTTGCTCCGTCTTTCCTATTCCAACGTCTATCGTCCTGATCTCTCCTTCTTCTTTTATGTGTTTGTAACGCTCTTGTAACACCTCTAATCTTCGGCACTTATATGATCTTATTGTGTTGCAAATGCCGTAAAACTCTCGCTAAAAAAAAGAAAAAATACACGACTTTCTTGTCAACATAACGTACCCGACTAGGCTACCTTTACCTTATAATGTCGTCACTTCTGACTTTCCCCAGCACACGACCAGGTCTCCGAGCGCGGGAACTCCGAGCGTGGCTGGCATCACGCCTTGTCCGTCACCGGGGATAGCCCCGCCCCCTCAGCGACTCCAGCTTGGCCCCGCCCACCCGCGCTTACACAAGCCGCCTGGATAGCGCGGGCGTCCGTCTGTCACTCACCTCCCCGGGGCGAATGTCGTGCGCATCGCGCGTGCCGGTGACGTCCTACGAGCGAGAGAAAACCGCGCCGAGCTATGCACGCAAAACAAAAGAGAGGGAAAAAATCCCAAACAAAACTAGGGGTCAAAACTTCACCAAAATCAAAACTGCAGCTCTTGAGACGGATCTGCCTCTCACTCTCTGGGTTTACCCCTCTCTACTCACTACCGCCCTTCCTCTCTTTCCTTCCCCCATTCTCCCTCCCTTCCTCCCTGCCACCCACTCCCTCCCTCTCTCTCTCTCTCTCTCTCTCTCTCTCTCTCT